ACAAACCTTGGGGGTATGGGAGAAATCCACTTACGAGCCTGGAACAGAGCAGCTGATTGGGCCTCGACAGGCTCTCTATTAGGGAGCAGAGGAAGATCCTGACTGCTGCCGTTTCTGCTCCTTGGACTGATAGAGCAGATTTACATCTACCCTCTTTTGCACCTGGGCTGAGACGCCAGCGCTGGACTCTATCTCCAATCAGAGGGACAATTGGATGAGCGTGCAATGCAGTTATTGAGCTCTATATTAATATACACTGTGCCTTGTAAAATCAGTGATCTGATCATATCACTCCTGCAGCATCTATTTTAATAAAACATAGCTGTGGATGGGCAGTGTGGAGATTAAACTGTGCTGGAACACAAGCTATCAGAGGAAAATGTTTCCAGAAGCGTGAACACCTGTAGCAAGAATGTATTTGTTTAATTCAACATTCATTTTTGCAGAAATTAGAGTATGCACTAAAGAGATTAAGGGCTCTAAATACACACCTCTTAGAAACAAATGAAGATTACGCTGCTCTCCCAAAATAAGGCTGGGGGTTTTCCTCCTACACACCCACCCTGAAATACCCTCCTGTAATCTAAAACGAAAAAATCAGGTTCAGGATTCTGTAAATTTCATCTTTTCTTACAGCCTTAATTGCCCGACAAAAGAGAAACATGGCTCTGGGAGTCAGATGTGATCATCTCCTGGCATAAGCTTCAGAATGGAGGCTCACCTTGCTTTCTTTGGATGCTGCTGGTTGACATTTAACATCACAGAGAGAGAGGGGAGGTGCAGAGCCAGGTGCCCTACATGCACATTTGACCCCCTGCTAATGTCAGAGGGGGGAAGGTGACACACACTCGCCCTCGCTTCAGTCACACAAAACACTACAAGAGAGCACAGTGCCAAGTATCAGTCTCAGTAATTACAGTTTTGTATCTTTATCTAAAATTCACCCAAGAAACAGTCATTCTAGAAGAGATGCATCCTTTTTTAACAGACTGGATTTAAAGCTCAGAGATGCACTGTGAAAAAAAGGGTCAATACATTGAGGTACAGAATATAAAAGGCTTCAGGTAACCATAAATGTGCGCCTTTTATTTTTTTTTTTACACAAGTCAAGTTACAAACCCTCTATATGAAATTGCATCCCAAGAACCTAGATGCAGAAATTACAATTATAACGACTAAATGAGAATGAAAGTTAGTTAACAAAGACGCACACTCTGAAATACACTACAGATGCAGCTAGCAGGCCTGTTACCCAGTGCAGATGACCTGGTTCTGCTTGCACGCAACCATGAAATAACAACTGCTGTTTGGTGTTTGATGTTAGCTCAGGGAGCGTGGTGTCCCTGCTCGGGCGAGGCAGGCACACGTTACAGTCAAGATTTGTTTGGAAAAATAAAAAAAGGAGGAGGAAGAGGAAGAAAAATGCAACAAGCTCAGCACCTGAAACACAAAGAAGAATTTACCAGATTTTTTTAAAATGATGTAGTTTTTATTTCAGGTTAAGACTGAACAATACAAACCACAGATGCATTATCAATAAGACATAATAATACTGGATCCCCCATAACCTAACAAGGATCATGGTGTGTCGTCACTAAACCTGTTTGTGTATTTGCAGTGAAAGGAAAAAAAAAACATGTGGATTAATAAATTAAGCTGCTTTTAACTACTTTCAAAAACAACTACTACTAACCTATGGATGAGTGTTATTGCTATTGTAGTGAGTGCACAGTTCCCATGGCAACCAAACCTATGCTTTGTTATATAGGAAAATTGTGTCTACTCTTTGAAGAAATAAGCAAACAATACTGAGTTTTGATTACTTTCTACAAACTGAATTCAACTGAGTGTTTATTTTTTACAACTGACTAATACTCTAATACAAAAAAATGAGTGCACTGTATTTCACAATTCATTTAATCATCAACAACAATAAGTGTGTCTACAAGTTCATTTTAGGTAGTTGTTCATGAAAGCATAACATTTCTCATGATTGTAAAGCAAAACAGATTTTTAAAAGCACCTTAACCTCTAGATATTTTTATATTTTAGGTAACTTATTCTCTGTTCAATTATTAAAATATTGCAACAATTTTGGACTCAGATATTCAGCATGCCCCCTCTCTTCTATCTGGCACTGCAGACATATTCATATGTCTTCCTTGTGTAACTTTATACAAGCATCTAAAATTTACAACAAAATATGAGAAATACAATTTTTAAAAATGATGATTTTCCAGTTTTATCACATGAATATTCAGAATATGAATGACTATCCTACACCAAACTATGAGTGTGAAATAAATTACTTTACAATTTGATGCAAATCAACTGAATATTTTCTGATGCCTGTTCACAGCAGCACATGAAAGCTTACAATGTCCACAAAATCAAACTTGAGCTCCAAACAACTCACTTTTCCTCATTAATATTATTATTTTGTTAAAGTACACAAATGTTAGTGGAATAAACTAATTACAGCACGATTTGATGCAACTGTTTTGGGCTACTAGTAATTTTATAAAGGTGAAAATTATGATCAAAATACAAAAGCAGCCCTGATGTACATTTCATGGAGAAAATAACACAAAGACCAGCATCGTTAGGCTTTGTGTATGTATGTGTGTGTGTGTGTGTGTGTCTGGGTGGGGGAGGCCTGATGTATGATGCAAAAAATATAAGGGGGGCAGACAGAAAGGCTGCGTTTATTAAAGCATCTCGTTGCTAAAAACTGATGCAACTCCATGGTTTACTGCTGCAGAGCTCACAGCCTGCAGTGACATGGACTCCTTCTCCTACAGACACACATCTATTCTCATTTACAATCTATTACACCGCCTCCAAAAAAGACTCACGCAGACGCTTCTATGAAGCTCTAACACCAAAAATACGTTTCAAATGTCGTTCATGAACGTCGTTCTGCAACGTGAAAAACGTTATTTGATACAGGGTAAAATAAAGTTGTTTTAGTTGAGATCCGAGGAGTGTGTTTGATATAGCAGAGCTGCAAAGGAAGGCCTCTTTCAGAGCTGTAAGCCATCTTAATATCTTCGTTTTGAAACGCTAAGAGGACACAAACACTATCCCATCAGCGCATGTAGTCTCAGTTTCTCACACTGCACGTGGATACCATGTGAAGAAATCTGTGCATGTGCAGGTCCGTTTCGATCCTGCAGTGTTTTGGTCCAAACTAAAGATTTAATGCGCCGCCACTCACTGCATTATATGAGGCTATTTCGTCACATAGGTTGCGCGCCGTGCAGCCGCTTATACTCCCTCTTCTCCTTTGAGTCCTTAGGTGTGGAAAACAACGTGTCACTGCGCGACAGAAATCCCATCGCTGAGATGTAGAAGGCAAATCCTGCAGCCGGGAGAGAAACAGATGGACGGGGTACGGTGTAATAAAAAACTCCAAATCCTGTTTTCAGTGTGTTCCCTCGCACACAGCCTCAACTTCAACTTTTTCAAACTTCCACCTCTGACCAAATGATGGAATTTGCATCTGCAGCCACTAGTTGTTACTTTCTTCACTCCCCCTTTCACCCCCTTTTTTTCTAAAAGCAGGGGCCCAGTGGCTGCCTCTTGATTTATAAATGTTTATGTGTTTTGAAGTGCGGGACAAAAGGGGGGTGGCCCTGTGACCCCTAGGAGTCCCGACCTTGTGCAGGTTCATTGTGAGGCTCTGGGAAAGGGGGCTTTAGGGACGGAGACCCCGGGCCACTGACCCACACACACATCTCAGAGCCCTGCCATTCATGTGCGCACCGCTGCATGTCGCCCCGCAGCTCCCATTGTTTCAGAGGGAACAATAGCTTCACCCCCTCCATCTCCACCTCTCTGCAGCTTTCAAACTTCCCTCCACATGTAGCCTGATGCAAACCCCGGCAGACTCCCCCCCTCTAACCCTTTAATAAGGAATCAAACATGTTGACAAAACGTTAAAGCTGTAAATGCTATCTTCACCCGGGTTGCATCAGGCACAAACGTTGCATCATAGCGCAGAGTAGGATCTTACAGCCGTCAAAAGGCCAACACTGTAACAGAGTGAAAGAATAAAACAGCTAACAGAGTGAAAGTGTGATGAGAGAGCAGGAGAATGAGATGACAGGAGGAGAAAACACTGTGAAGAACTCCTACAGGATTCCTGTGAGGCTGGAATCAGTCCTGTATTAACAGGTTAGCGCGGGCATTAACGGGCCTGTGTGTTCAAGGGTGAGTGAGGTTACTCAAGTGACATCATGCATGGGGCCCTGCTTTCGATTGGATCTTTTTCCTGGGAGTCGATCTCGACAGGAAGTGAAGGGGATACAAACGAGCAGTGCAGGACTGCCACTTGATTTAATCAATTATACTGCCTTATAGTGCGGCCAAGAAAACTAAACTTTCTCTGCGTTCAGTGAGAGAGAATGAGTGAAAGATGAGCAGGAAAGAAAACTGAAAAATCTCATGTCTTATTTTTTCACTCTGAGACCAGATTAGTTGCCTGTCATTTCACAGAAAGCACAGAAACGCGGCTGGTTTCTTTGGTGTTAAATGCCCCTCAGCTTGTCTTGCCAGGCTCAATTTACAATTGGACCATAGCATATAGATAAGCGTCCTGATGCGTGAAACTGCAACGCACTGATGGACCTCTCAAGACAGACGGTATATTAAACATGATTAATTGTGGCCGGTAAGGCGACACTCTTCTTACATGGAGCTTAAAGAATATTATCAAAACTACAGCAGGCCTACAGCATATAGTGCTGCACTGTACGCTGAGAGAACAGCTCATACAGCCTGCGAGAGCATTATTAAGTGCAAATACAAACACAGAAAAGCAGTATTATAGGATTTTTCAGAGGACGCAGCGGATATATTTGTGTGTCAGAGAGCGAGCGCGCATTTGTATGCATAAAAGCGTGTGTGCGCGCGTGCGTGTGGAGAGAGAGAGAGAGAGAGCGAGAGAGAGGGAGAGAGAGAGAGAGAGAGATTTTATTGTAATGCACAGAACGACCTGCCCTCTTTTGAAAAAAAAGGCGAGAAAGCGCAGCCATGCTTTGCAGAGGCTCCAACGTCGCTCTCATTGGTAGCAGCAGCCTCTCGCCAAACGGACTCTCTCTCTCTCTGCTCGTCCGTCGTTTCACACCGACGGGGGGAAAAACCGGGAATACAAGCAACCATGATGCCTTCGTGATGTGAAGATGTGCAGTGAGGTGATAATGCTAGAATGAAGAGATAAAAACAGTAGAGCACGGATAAATGTTAGCAGAGCTCAGTGTGCTGGGATCCACCATATGGCGTGGAGCTGATCCTGGTGAGTATCCTTTGCTTGTGTGTGCTTTAATGCTCGATTCTTTGATCGACTATTCATCAAATTAATGTGTAATTCCACTCAAGGCGGTGGTAGAATACACATTTAAAATGTTAGAAGTGGATGTTGATCATTTGGAGAGATATTGGTCCTGCACTCTGAACGTTGCACTTGCCATTGTTATTGCGGGGTTTAGGGAATAAACAGACATTTGAAAAGGTTGAAGAAAAACAGGACGGAAAAGCATCACGCAGAGTGGACAGAGCGTTTTATGTCGACGGTTGCATAATCAATAAGAAACATAAAAGTGGACGGTGCATTACTGAGCTTCATCGTTTGTTCGTTACGCGGTGCTTAAGGACAATAGGGGTCGTGTTCCTGTCGGTGGTCAGATGGAGGGAGAGATCAGAAATATGATAATCTGCTGATGATGATGGAGCTCCAATTTACAGCTGATACGAGAGTGGAGTGGTTTGCAGGGGATGGGGACGTTCCGTCTAAAATGGCGTTTCCCTTTGTTTCTGCATCCCTCTCCTCTCTGTAACAGCGAGTGGGTAACGCTGTGCTATTACCATATCCACGAGCCTGCACCTCGTCTTGAATCTTACATCCATACTGCAGACTCTTACGCAGTGGATTCGGGGATTTAACGGCAAAAGAGGAGCTGTCAGATGGAGAAGTGATCTCCTGTGTGGTTGGCTCAGAGGCTCTGACAGGATCAGACCTGAGAGCAGGTAGAAGGCACTGACTTCAACTACTATTGAGCAGATTTGATCCTCAATTAGTCCATGAATTTGTCACTGTGTTCTGCAGCATTGATGATCATAACTGCATATCTGTGTCAAGCTCCAAACAATGACTGCATTAACGTGATTCATCCTAAACCTGCATCTCGGCGCGTTTAACACCTCAAAAAAACAGCTTGTAAATTTTTGTGCAGGGACAACAAATCAGCAGAATTGTTCTAAAGCCACCCTGCACTCACTTCAAACAGCATCCCTACATCATCCGTGTGCGTGTGCGCGCGCGTGCCATATTCCAAGCGTGTGAGCGTGAGTGTATGTGAGTGTACACGTGTGTTCTCGCTCTCTCTCTCTCGCTCCCTCTTCTTTTTTTTGGACTAGTGCAGTGTTGCATAACCGTTCACAGCCAATGCCAGATTTGGGGCTTCACAAATTGCGGGGCCATTGTTGGCATTTCCTCTACCGGCCCGTTCACACACACGCACACACGCGCACACACACATAGAGATACACTCGCACACGCGCGGAGTTCTCTCACCAACTGCCGATCATACCGATCACTACATATATCGGCGATAAAGCTTCATAATACACTGAATGGGAAGTCGTCAATTTCCCTCCTAGTTTCAAGGACACAGGGCAGTCATGAGGAGGACGCTGGGTAATATAGAGGAACATCTGTTTGCCCGGTGACGTCAGCACCCCCCCCCCCCCCTTTCCACCCCCCTTCCACCCCCCCCTCCTCATCCCAATCCTCTTGTGCTGAAGGCAGATGCCTCATTTGTTTGGCTGGAGCTCCATTAATCCCAAAGTCAGAGGAAAAGACCGGACGGAGAGAGATCAGTCCCATTTAGGCAGTGTCGGTGTCGGTGGTGCGCTCGTGCTGCGCAGCTCGGGCGCCCGTGGTGTTCCGGTCAGGAGCGCGTACAGGGGACGCCTATATCGCTGTGTTCAGGACACCCGCAGTGGCCGAGGCTCTTCGGCTGCCCCGTGTGTGCGTTTGCGGTAGTTTTAACGTGTGACCCGAAATTAGAAGCTGCAGGCTTGTGTGCGTGTGTTTGTGCGTGTGTGTGTGTGTTTGTGTGTGTGTGCTGTAAGAAAAAAAGGTGCGTGACAAGAAAAATCAATATTTCGAGCGTGGACAGTGACTTTTCCAGTTTTATGGACGCCCATTGTGGAATATGAGATTCTGTCACCTACGAATCTGTTTCAAGTTCATGACGCATTTGTCTTTTCTTTTTCTGTAGGTGCATTCTGGGATATTGGAGGACTACTAAGCTCTCTGCAGTTTTGGACAAAGCTGTCGATGGAAAAAAAAACACACGGAGTCATTTTTCCCACTTGGACGTATAATCATTTTGCACGCAAATAGCCTCCCTCTCGGTCACATAAGCTAAGCTCCATATTAAATGTGTTTAAACATAATAATGTAGGCCTGCACAACAACCGGGAGAGGATTTGATCTCTTTGGACACGTGCGGGAAATCTGTGGATTCTTCTATATTTACTTTTTGGCCACACTTGACATCCTGGTGCAGATTTTTTGCTTCAAATCTTAAAAAAAAAAAAAGTGTCAAATTATATGAGTTCGACGTGTATGCCTGTTCCCCACAGAAGAGCTCACACACTTGCATGCAAACACACACCTACACACACTTGCACACACACAGACGAGCGGGTTGTGTCTCTCCGTGTTCACAGCGGACCTTGATTTAATGTCTTACAATTAAGGCACGCGGTGAATGCCAAGAGATGATCCTCCTAACGCCGGATTTCTGCACATTGAAGAATCACGTTTATTCTCATGTCACTTTTACTGCAGGTTTGTTTCGAACTGTAACGCATTATTCCTGTTGTGCACATCCCTCCTCTCTTCTTCAACAATAAAGGAAATCCACACAACCTTTTTAATGCTTTGTTTTTATGTTGACATTCATCTGATGGCTGTGTTTTGTAAAGTGTGTATGAGTGTGTGTGTGTGTGTCAGTGGGAGCTGTCCATCCGCACACACTCACACACACACACACACGCAGGCTTGCCGGGAGCGCTGTCCACCTTATGTGGTGCTGAAATCTGCGCACCACCGAGCTGCCTTGTGTTTCTCCAAGCGGTGACGGCCTCGGTTGTTTCATTGTAGTGCAGGAATGCAGCTTGTAGCCGACAACGGAATCACTTCATAAACGCGGAAAACACGCATAAATCAGCGGAGGTGTTATAAAGTATAAAAAAAGTCTTTATTTTCTGTAGTTGTCTCATTTGGCACTACACTCTACAACATTAACACACTAAATCAAAGTCAGAAATAGCTGTAACCCGATATGGCAGTGGTGTAAATGCGTCTATAAGCTCATATCTTAAACACAAGACCATACTGGTTATAATCTACAACAAATTTACTGTCGTTCATTCGGGTAAATTTGCGTTGAGAGCGTGTGAACATCTTGTTCCAGCGTCAGATTATTTTCTCCTCCCAGCTTTGAGAAGCATTGCTTGTTAACATGGTCGTTTTCTCCGGTGAAGCAGTTCCGTCTTCTCCATCCTGCAATAACCCAAAACAGGCCTTGCATGACAGGGATATTAAGCCATGATTTATTTGATCTGCATATTAATTTTCATACGTGCGGTGTTAGCGTGAATGTAAATGAGGAGGTGGGCTGAGCAGCTCTGCAGTTACCAACTCAAATGTCCGATTAAATCGCCATAAAGAGGTTTGGTAAGAAAACATTTGACGGAACTGATGAATACAGTCTAGCAGCTCAAAGAGTCTTATGGCATTTGTGCCGGTAGGAATAACATCCACCAAGCTTAGTCTGCCGCCTAGTGGCCTATAGAGGCATTGCACTCTGTACTAGACGAAGAGAATCAGATTCATCCTGGAGTTTAGACCTTTATGATAAAAACAACAGAATTATAAAAATATAGGTTGCTTCACGCACAGTGTTCGTGCTATATCAAAAACAGAAAAAAAGGATCATAGTGTGACTTTCATTAGGTGTTGGTTTTGCGTATTTTTTACAATCCAAAAATAACAGTGTCCATTTCGCAAAATGTGACAGCATGACAACTTCCAAATTTGAATAAATGACACTTAGGGTGACACGTGATGGACGTACGCACAGCTTGATGTGCCTGTGTGTGTTTGAGGGTGGTCTCTTTGACAAACTTATTTAACTCTATTATCTTGAACAACTTAAATTAGCACGAGGAAGGAAAACAATCAGCACAACAGAGAAAGACATGAAAAAAAATGAATCTGAGTCCTGAAAAGGCAGAAAAATACAGACGGAGAGCAAAATACTTTAACGAATGATCTGCTGCTGCTGTAGTATCTGTTATGATATTTAGGACTTCAGCTAGGAGAGCTGACACAGACTAAAAAAGCGTCTTCATTCCCTATTTAGTACAAACAGAGCAGCCTGACTGTAATTGCCCTGTAATAAGTAAGGTAGACTTGGAGGTGCGGATGTAGTTCACCACAGGACAGAATTTAATTTTCATATCAGGTCTGCACAGCCCGAGAGTCTGGCCTCCACTGATAACCAAAATCTTCAAAGTTAAAGAAAATCCACTGGGCTGCTGTGAGGCATGTTCATCATGCACCTCTTTCCCATCAGCACCTCCTCCAGGAGAAGAGTTCATCATTACTATTCAGGGACTGCCCTCTGGTGGTTGAAAAATGTTAATGTGCCAACTAGAGAGCTAAAAAATTGTCACAATCACGAATTTTAATGCAAATAGTTTGTGTGATATTTTTTTCCGAGTTGGGTATTTGAGAAATCAAATTGGATGGCTTATTTTAAAACTAACTTTCTAACTTTTAATGGAGGAGAGATGAAACAGCTTAGGACAGTGAATTCAAAAAGAGTCCCAATCTTCTGAAATTAGTGTCTTTTGAGGGAGATTATGTGGTTTAGCAACTTCTCATCTTACATAAAAGACAGACGATGTTAACTCCGTAAAGCAGAAATATATTATGACATAGTGCAACCACTTTGTGTCTAATCTTGTCTTTTGTTCAGGATTGCTGCTTGCACTCTTTTTTCCCAGTTTAGCCTTGAGTGGTCTCTTCATTACCAAAGTGCTGACAGACTGTGGCTGTAATGGCTGTGGCAGCGTCCTGGCCCATCTTGTCTCATTAGCCGGACCTGATTGGCCATGAAGGTGTTCTCGTGCTGTCTCAGGATAAAGCGACTGTCGCTGCCACTCGTTAGATCATAACTCCTCAACTACTCTGCCCCCAATGGCCTCTCATGGAGCCTCAGCTGAGAGGGCAAATGTGTGCTAATTGAAATATGTTGGAAAAAAGGGGAAAACTATGACCTTGGATGTGATAAGCAAGTGTTGGACTAAAATATATTCGTGAAGCTGATACAAAGATGAGCACTTGAACAGAAAAACAAAAGTGTATGCTGTTTAAATGAAGTAAAAAAGCTTATTTGTCATTTTATTCCTGAAAAAAACGAGACTTTAAAACTGTAAAGTATCTAAGCAGCATGAATGTAGCATAGACAAGCTCCATGTAATAATCAATCATTTCATAACATTCAGTAAAAGAAGGTTTTAAATTACAACGCATCCTTTTAGTAGGTGACAAAAGGTAGTGGAAAAAAGAGGTGGGTGTGTGTTGTGTAACTGAGGATGAATAATATCACTGTTTAAAGTTTTCAAATATGTTAACTTATTCCAAATGACAGCAACAAGTCACTGTACTTAACAAGATTTCATCGACATATATTTCTCTGAGGAATACTTGATCTTTCAAATGTTTTAGTGGACAGGCAGGGCAGGACAGTAAGGGAAGATGAATAACAAACAGGCTGTTGCAGCCGAGGGAAACCTCAGCAGAGTGGAGGCAGGAATCATCATGAAGTGATGTAAAATGTACTTAACTTCTTTGTGAGGACTGGAATAAAGGTTATGATCTTGATTGTGTCATACTTGACCAATCAGAATCAAGAATCAAAAAAGGCAGTTTATCTTCTTACCACAGTTTTTTGTTGCTGTTTACATTGTTTGTTCAGTTATTTGTTTATAGATTATAGTGGATATTTTTTGGCTGGCTGATGTGTACTTTAACAGATAAAGAAAATTACACATTATCTCAGTGACTTCAAATGTTGGTCTTTGAGGGGGCTTTTTAAAGACTAATGTTGGCAGTCGGCATATTGGGAATTCTGACTCAATCTAACTTTCAGTCAGCCTAAACACAAGCAGAGAGGAGTGAGTTCAGGTCAACCGGTTGGTGGCCTCTTAGCTCACAGCTATACAGAAATGCCGCCAGTCAAGACATTTAGACCCCTGGTTAAGTAGATCTAAGCACAACTCTTATTTTTACTGTGATCACAAATGATATGCTGGGAGAAATAATCATCCCCTGCACTGTGTGTATGGATAAATAATGAAACTGTTCAGACATTTAATGATTCTCGTACCAGGCTGTATTGTGTTAGCTTGTGCGATAAAATATATTGTTTTTACTCCGGAGTTGATAAAGTTGCACGAGCTTTTGGAGCCAGCCTCAAGTGGACAGTTAAGGAACTGCAGGTGCAGCACTTCCATCTGAATGTCATTTTTTAATTTTGTAGGATGTGGCTCAGTATACAGGCATGTGCAGGTAGGCTGATATGGACGGGCTCTAGGATTTTTTTTATTTTTTTTTAACACTTACGAGTTAACATATGAATATGAACAAAAATGTGAATTCAGAAAGGCATCTACCATAATGAGATAGAAACAGATATTTTTTGTATCAAACTATGGTTATTATTTGAAAGTTAGAAGTAGAGTCAATTTTTATGTTATGGGTTTCACTGACGTAGCATGGCGCACCTGAAACTTGCAGCTCCAGCCACCTCTTTATTAGATTGATTCACTGAGGTTGAGACAGTCCAGATAACTTAATATGAAAATAATAAGAGAGAAAATGATCAAATTACAGTATAAAAAGGTTAAATATATTCCCTAATTATTTATATGCAAACTGCAAATCAAGGTGATTATTTTAAGTAGTGACAGAGTTTTTAATTTGTTGGTTAATTCAACAGGCTAATGTGATGCTACTTATTGGCATTTTTAAATAATCAGCCTAATATCTAGGAGGTCTATGCCACTACTACCTGTTCCAAATGATAACACACTTCCCTAACGTAAATGATAATATATGAAATCTAAAACTGTTAGTGTCCAGTATAAATTTGGTAACTACATACAGAGTCATGTAGTTATTTGTTTCTTCTGATTTAGATATCAGCCATTTAACATTTTTAGCAATGCATTTATCTTTTGCACGAGTTCATTAAAAATCTATCTAAAACCTGATACTGGCCACGACATACTGTATGAGAGTGTAATGCTGATCTTCTATATTACCTTTTTTTTTTAAATCCACTTTTTAAAACCTTGCTCTATTTTAATAATCTGGGATGGATCCAAAAGTAATAACCCAAATCTAGATGATCTTTGCAGCAATATTTTATATAGCCATGTATTTTTCTGTTGACATTTTTCACATAAAAGCTTAATTCAAGCTTTGTTTTTTGTTTCTTATTAACCAATATTATTTTTGTAGCTAGTTTGATTGTTAACTGACAGTCAAAGCTGTTAAATAAACACAAATGAAACAACATTATAGTGTGGACCTTGAAAGTTTGTTTGATTCTGCACACAACTCCACTCTTTGTGCCCAAGTTGCAGGGTTGAGTTTGAGTTGTATAAAGGCCATATCGTCATTATACAAATTACAGAACGGCTAATTAAGGAGAGCCAAAACTGAGAAACAAAGTGAAGTTGACAAAGAGTCACAAAATGGTGCTGTTGCTTTTCACAATAAATATCTCACATTTCTCTTCTCTCTCGTTCTCTCTCTTTGTCTTCATGTTAAAGAAGCATGCACATAATTTTTAAACAATGTCCCTTCTCTCTTTTCGTTGGCAAACATTATAATCTTCAGTGTGTGACATACTGGAGGAGGCAGAGCAGACTTTTCTTCACAGCTCTGATCTAACAACACAATATGTAGCTGCCAAGGTGCCATCTCTGAGGGTGAAAAAATCCACAGCACATTCACTGTGGATTTAATATATGGGGTCATTTGTAATCACAGCTAAAGGTATCTTCAGTGTGGGCAGCACACATGCCATGGTAACCAGCCATGGTAACTTGGAGGTGGAGGGAGTATTTTTTCTGTCCTTAATGCTTGGTAGCTCGTATCTACAAATGGCTGCCAGGGGAGAGTCATTCCTGAAATGGCTTTCTGTGTAAGTCTGAGATTTCTGAGCTGGACAAGAATGTTGTCCTGCTCTAAAGTTGGTCCTGTTGTACTTTTAGGTTACCCTGGCTGCAGTGAAGACGCCTATGGAGCGAAGATAACAGCTGTTTGGAATGGGAAGAGCTCAGGGGGGAACAAAGGACATATCAGCACCGTGGACAGCTCCACTGCCCAAAGACACGTGGAAATTACTGTTAAGATAGCTAGATCTGTTATGATGACACTCAAAGGGTTAATACAGTGATTTATACTTATTTTTCTTTCAGATATGATGAGGGTTTATCTATAACATCCATGTGCAACATAACATCAGGTGACTTCCTTACAGATCCACTGTTCCCCACACTTTCCAATATGCAACACAAGCTCAGGGGTCACATGTGACGTTATTGATCACTAGTCTAGAAAAGCACAGGCCAAATAAAGAGTGATTTCTGCCATTATTAGTTTAAATATTTCAAAGGTTGAAAAGACACTTTAACTACATCAGTGACCCAACTGTCTGTAACCGACTGTTACTTGAAATAAAAGATATTAACGTCCCTATCCAAAAAATCTTTGACCAACCTCATTAATGCAGAACAGAATCAAGAAAATATGTGTATGTATTTTACAGGATTCACATTAAGGTCATGGAGTTGGTGGGCTGCTCTTCATTTTGGATGTACTACACCGCACAGCCCAGTAGATGGCAATATGAGCATAAGTAAATGTTTGAAAGAGCGCTCTTACACGGAAAATTGATGATGAATCTGTGATCGATATCTTGTAACAATGAGGAGACAAGTTCATGATCCTTTTAGGGAACACTCAAATCAGAGTTTAACATTTGTATTCAGGATAAAGTATTTGATGATTTCAAGTCTGAGAACTGCCACTATCCCAGGTTGATAAGTTTGAAAGCAATACACTGTGAGTTTCTCTGATTCAAAAGATAGATGTCTCATGACCTTAAAAGATCAACAACCAAGAAAAGAGATGTATAGACATTCATGATACCCACTTTATATGCCTGATAGGAGCAGCCATGGCATGAAAGTTTCCCATCTCCATATACTAAAAGAGACACTAACTGATGGTGATATTTGCATATTTTTGCCTTGAAACCCTAGTGGTGAACGCCACGCGAGAGTATCACTGGATTAGGACTGTCAGAACCAAAGTGCCTCCTAAAAACCAGTTATCAAGAGCCTTTTACACACGCGCAGAGGGAGAGAAAGAGCGCACGCGGTATTGTTTGTCATCGTTTAAGTGCCATTAATTAAAACGTTAACCTGATTGGGTGGAGAGAAGAGAGGAGGAGAGGGTGTCTCTATCCCAATAGGCGAATCCCTTTTAATAACCCGCCTCGAGATAATGATGTAAAAAGACTCGGGCGTCTCGTGCGTAACGAGGATGATCGCAGAGATCCAGTGAAGGTGAATCACAGACACAGGAAGAAAGAGAGAGGAAAAGAGAGAGAGAGGAGAGAGAGAGGAGAGAGAGCAGCACTTATTAGTCTCCTCCTCGTTCCCACACCTCAGCTGACAAGTCAGGCCAGCCTGTAACTTCAGAGTGACACACAACTAAACTCTTTACTGACACACACGGGAAGAAAACTCACAGACGCGTAAAGAGTTTCCAGAAGCGGAATCCACGCGGTTATGGACAGGAGGATGAACTTGAACGGAGGTGCAGCGGATATTTTTCACAAAACTCTCAGCGCCGTGTCCACCAAAAAGATGGACCCCTTCAGGTCGTCAGCCGGCATCGAACTCCCAGCCAGGGACCGTCAGTCACCCATCAGCTGCTTTGACCAGACCGACCCGGACCCGATCCAGCCGGGAGGACTGGCAGGAGGTAGAGGAGGTGCACTCGGTCTGCCCACCGGATCTTTGTGCGTCAAGTACGGCGAGAGCGCCAACAGGACCTCGGTGGCGGAGAGCAGCGGCGGAGAGCAGAGTCCTGACGATGACAGCGACGGCAGGTGCGACATGGTGCTTCTGGCCGACGGGCGGACAGTGCCCGCGGGGAAAGGCGAAGGAGGTAAGAAAACCAAAGAGCAGAAAATACTGAGGCTAAACATCAATGCCAGAGAGAGACGGCGGATGCACGATCTGAACGACGCGCTGGATGAGCTCAGAGCGGTCATCCCTTACGCGCACAGCCCGTCGGTGCGGAAACTCTCCAAAATCGCCACTTTGCTGCTCGCGAAAAACTACATCCTCATGCAAGCACAGGCGCTGGAAGAAATGAGGCGGCTGGTGGCCTATCTCAACCAGGGCCAGGCCATTTCTGCTGCCTCCATACCGGCTACCACTGCCCTCGCTGCGCCCGGCTTGGGCGCGTACGAGCAGCCGCCCGGATACCCCTTCCCCACCGGGGTGACCGCGTCCTCCTGCCCCGACAAATGTGCCCTGTTTAACAACGCCAGCTCCAGCCTCTGCAAACAGTGCACTGACAAGCCTTAATTTCGGCTCTACACAGACTAACAAAGAAGCACAGGAGGGAAGAGATACCACTTTTAAGAACACTTTTGGAGAGGAGATCCTGCGAGGCTGCTGTTGTCCGAGTCATTAGGCTAGAGACAAAGAAGTAAAGCCGATGAATACTTTTATAATATTTACTAAATGCATTCAAACGCGCTTTTTTGTTCAAACAATACTTGATTGTGTAAATAAATCATCCTTTAAGTGCTGGTATGAATGACAGAAGACCAAACAGAAGTTCAGTAGGCCTGTGAGTGAGGGTGAGTTGATGATCACTTGCTCAGTTTGGACCCTTTTTTTTTGGAGATTCTGTTGACCTGACAACCTGCGACTTTTCCACCTTTCCATCCCCACTTTCTGCTGCTTCTTCTCTTTTTTTTACTTCTTTCTTTGCAGTTTTTCTTTCATTTTCACCACAAGCATTTTGCTGTACTTCCTGGTGAAAGGCCTGCTCTTAATGAACTTTTCGACTTGGGCACGTGGAATGTCACGAACAAGAAGAAGTCAAACAAATAAGTGATTAAATCAGATCGATATTTAAGTGTTAACCCAGACTTGTTGAAAGTTACGCAAAGATATTATAAAAGTCTTGTATTTGGGGGCATTGTGACAAACACAAATCATGGAAAATTTAGAAAACTAGACTTGAGATTTATCAGCTGACTAGATGTCTTTTGTAATTTATGAATTTGGATATTAATGTCGAATATTTTGCTGCATTGCACACTGTAGTCTTTATTTTCCTCTTGCATCCTGCTTTTTTCTGCTCACACAAACAATCGAGGTCTTCAGATGAATCGCATTGTCAGGTCAAGCTGTGGGTTATTTGTGGATAATTTAGTTATTATAAGAGCAAAGAGGGCCATTTGTATGTATTTCAGTGTTGAAAAAGCTTTATTAAAATATTTTGAACAACAGACACACTCTGTTTTTTTTTTGTCATGTAGTGTGGCGTTCAGATAAATCTAGTCTGATGAAAACACACTGAGATATTCTACCTGAGTTTTTGAATTTTATTTTTACTTTTATCCTTTTTTTCCCCTTCTGTCTGTTTTTGGAGGATAATTCTCGCTCATTAGTTCGTGACAGTCTGAGAAAGAAATGCTCCATCATCTTGAACCGGTAACTTTTTCCTCTTCTCGGTCCTGGGAGCGAAGGCCAGACATGCTGGGTGAATTTTGCCTCCAGGCAGAAACTAAATGTTTTTACTCCTCAATTCAAAAAACAAAACAAACCAAAATACAACCTGTGACGGCCATTACTGTGATTATTAAAACAATTAGCATGACGCGGTGTGATAATATGTTAATTCGAAAACAAGTGTGCATGAAAACTGTCGACTGTAATACCTGGCTTCACGTAATGAAACACATCGTTAAGGCAATTAAAGCTCCAGAATGTGATTAAGGAATGTAATTAGGACGCTGCTCATTGCCGTAATTTGGTGTCTTTAATCACAACGCAGCCATCAGCTGCACACCATCCACGCGCCCTTTGTCCCCTCGCTGCCTCTTTCCACACCAAAACATTTACACGAGAGACAAACAGCGAAAGACTCGAAAACTACACAGAAACATTTCAGAGAAGTCTGAGAATTTAAGACACACTCTTAGGCCAGAAGCTCTGTCACACTGTCTCTAATTTCACACAAAGAGTGGACTACACTTTTTGAAAAATACACAACTTCAGTGTTTTTATGGCTGTTATATTTAGGTGTAAGCTGGAAAAACTGGAGAGAGTTCAGCACCATGGACAGAGGCGATAGATTTTAAACAAAGCATAGGTATAAATCAGGAATTTCTCTCAGAAGTCATTCATGTTATGCAGTTTCTCACTGTATGGTTTTAATTCTTGTATTTTCTTCTGGAGTTCAAGCTTTTATAATAATAGATTCAGAGTTAAGTGATAAAAAAAAAGTCTTAATTCAGCCCATGTGAGGATAATTTCAAGGCATGCAAGAGGCCAACAAATATCTGGAACAAACTTTAAGAAGCACACTAGACTAATTTATAGTGGTAAAATATTATTCCTCTATATATCATTCCTTCACTTTTCTTTTCTTTTCTTTTCAGTTCAAATGTTGTGAAGTTTCAGTCTCTTATAACTCAAAGTAGCAACTCACAGTTTGTTTCAACGTGCTAACAAATCTTAATGTATGTAAGTAAGACACCACATTTAATCTAATTTTCTTCAAATATTTTAAAAAGTTACCTTCATATCCTCATAAACGAAGGTAATAATAACATTGAAAACACTTATGGTTTTTATTTCGCTGTGATCTCAGCTTTGTGTCTGTATGAGCCTTTCTGACAACATGGTCGTTACAGTGTCCTGTTTAATCCCATCACACTCCTGAACCCTCACAGAACTGCTCTTAATCTAGTCTAGGAATAATCAGGAGACATCGGAGTAACTCTGGCATGAAAATCCTGTCAGCGGCTCACGATGGGGTTCATGTGTACTATGATATTGAGTCTTCCTCCAGATATGGATTTACTTTTTCCACCTATACTGCTTAGTAACTGAGACTTCCCAGTAAATATTAATTATGCAACATGCGTTAATGCACAAATGACTGGAGCATTTAACCCATACTAATATTCACATTAGCCCAGAAGAGGAGATTCCCCAGGGGAGAGACGGAGCCATATGCGTGTAGAAAACAGAACACAGCATCCAAAGAAAAGCAGACCACAGTATCTAAAAAAAAAAAAAAAACAGTTTAAAGGCGAAGAAAAATCTTCACCCAGCAAGAGGATGAGCATGTTGAGATAAAGAAACACATGACTCACAAAAAAAGAGTTTCTTAAATTTCACTCTTCTTGATGTGGGAACTGTTAAACATGGAGTCACAGTTACAAGCTGGTGAAATGTCACAAACACACAAGTCCCTGAAATGTTATGTTGGTGTGTTGGTCTGGGCAGTGATAAAAACACTCTGAAGTCTGATGAAAACCAGGGGGACTCCAGTCTTCTTTTAGTGTCCACCAAACACAGCCAGCAGTCATAATAGGCAGCATGGCTTTTATTCATGAGTCTAATAAAGCTGAATCTGTCTTTAAGGCGTTTACAGCAAGACTCAAGGCTCATGAATAAAAGTGGAAGATAAAAAACAGCCCCTTTTCATAAACCATAAAATGTCCAATTTACCATATCAAGGGCCAGCAGGGCGTCTATTCATAACGCGGGTGTGATGTATGCTAAAGATGATAAACATGAAAGTCAAAATATACATAAGAGTGTTGAATTGAAATGTCCTCTTCATATCAGTAAGAGGCCAAACTGTGGCGATGGATCCGTCCATGCTGTGTCATACACTGTGTGTGTTGAGATATATGAGCTGCTCCGGCTGAGGCTTCAAATCAACCGCTGGGAGGTAATTCACGTTTGTCAGGCCACTGATAGCAGAGCACAATGTTGTTTTTGTGTTGTGCACACGAAATGCAGGCCAATAAAACTGAGCCGCTAAAGGACTTTTGAAGACTTTATCTTTATCATAAGTTACGGCGGAAAAACAATCTTGAAATGAGAAAACTTTTCACATTGAAGCACTGAAGTTTTAAGATTTTTTTCTGGTTTAACAAGTGCTATGATAAAGAAGAGAAACTCTGCTAGTTTTGATAGACGAAAGAGCCGGTAAAGTGTCGTCTCCTATATTTATGACAAACTGTTCTTCATGCAATAATTCTCATGTATTTTAGAATGGATTTGGGGTAAAAAAAAAAACATGTAACCCTTTTGTCCACTGTTTTTGTTTAAGCAAAGTGGTACAGAACTTCAAAAGGGAGAAAAAAACAAGAATATACTGCACTATTCTTCAAACACAGTCTTTATCGTCTGTTAACACTGTGTGTTTGGGGTCAGGGTCAAGGTTTTTTTTGTTTTATTTTCAGAGCTATATCATACAAAAATCTGACAGTATGGCTGTAAAGAAACAAACAGGTTTCCTGGACTTCACTTCAGTGATGTTGAGTAGTAACATTAAATACATAGGAGTTAAATCAGGACAGTTTACTGCATTAGCTGTACAATTTTACTGTATGTTTTACCACTTCCCTAATGAGCTCCTAATTCATTAAAGAGGGATGTTTTTTTTTTCTCTGAGGCAAACTGGAGGTCAGGTAAACATATGGCAGCCTGGTTAGCTCTGAAAGCTCTAACAGGGCACAATAAATGACGTAGTAATGTGTGATTATCCTCTCATCTGGAATACAATTGTTTTGTAACATCTCTAATATTCCAACTGCCTCCATATTAATCAGATTATCGTCCCAATCCCCTAATCCTTGTTTACCGATGGCTCCATCTTTGGGCCTTAATCTGATGTGCTTTTATTCCTCTGGGATTGAAACGTGTCGTGGCAGAGCGCAGTGATTTGTGATGTTGTTTTGGATGGAGACGACTGTTGCTGTACAGGTTGTTTTTTTTTTCCAGGACAACAATTCACTCTGGGTTTGAGTAAACAAACACAGGTGCACTGGAGTACATTGCTTTCAATGTGCAAATATTTGAACAGAATAAATCAAATTTTAAACGCTGGCTGGAGACGAGTCATTTAGACTTCTGATGTGCGATGATGCTGTTGCTTTAAAAAAAATACAACCCTAGTATTTTGTTTTTGCCCTTTGGGAAATAGCTTGAAAATTTCTACAGGATTTGATCATTATTGATCTAAATACAATAAAAAGTCAAGTTTTAAAAGGTCCTCTTTTGGGATCAGATCGGGACACCAACAGCTAAAGATAGATTTTCTTTTCAGCAACACAAAAAAACAACTTTCAGTCTGTTACAGCTGATTCCAAGAAAGCTTTGAACTTTACATTTCTGAGACCTGATGATGTCGCTCTGTTTGACTGGGGAGCGCATATGAGCCCAGCAGCAGAAGGCAGGAAGAGAGAGATCCTCAGCTTTACTGTAAACACCAACACAACGCTTTAAAACTTAAACGTTACAGAAACAGAGTGGGTAAAAATATGAACTCGATAATTCAATATTACGAGCTTGCTGGGATCTCTGTATCTGGTCTGAGTGTGTGTGTGGCGATCACTTGTCCTGATCAATATGCAGATCCCGACCCTCTCAGGGTTCATTAGAGCGAAAGCGCAGTGGATTTCATCTTCACTCTGATATTCATTAACTCTGGCTTCCAGATTGAAATAAAGACATGAGATGACACAATAACAGCGTGAATCACTCACTGCTCACTTCATACAGCCACACACTCTCTTTTGTTTCCCTACACACACACACACACACACAAACACACACACACACTGGTACAAATGAAAGGCCTGACCAGTAGAGAGTTGTTAAAGCAATAAAGAAGCAACTGTCTCCTCCAACCTGAATTGTGGGTTGTGGTTCCTGACAGCTTCTTGTTTACATGTTTTATCAAACTATTATTCATAACCTGATTGCTGGACAGATTTCTGATTAGACTCTACTCTGAAGATTAAGATGAGCCGCACACAAGGTTAACTATAAAGTAAACAAAGGCATAAAAACAGACATAAAAAGGACATAAAAACAATCCAATCACTGACTGCTATCCGGTTTATTCACTGAATTACAATCTATCACATACTTTCAAGGAATATAAGATTATAGAGTGGATTTTAATACGAAATGTGGAGAGAAAAAACAGGCGATCTACTTCCCTCTGTTGAAAATCTGTCATGTTAGTAGAGCATGAAACCGCGGCCGTTAGTGTAACACTTGCTTGGCTGATCTTCCTGATGTGCTGAGTGCTACTCCAGGCTTCAGTGTATCTGTCTGAGCAGAGGTCTTTAACAGCCATGAATGCCAAGCATGGGGGAGGCAGGCCAGGCCAAGCGTAACCGCGGCGGCCCAATGTCCTTGGCTCCACGGCGGCCTTCACCTCACACTCCCTGCACAGTGAATTTTATGGCTAATTTCCGG